GTTCACCTTTGCTTTCTTCGTATCCTCATCCCCATTTCCTCTTTATTTATCGCCCTATCTTCACTTTCTCTCACATCCTCACTCCCATATTGGCTCTTGTCCACCTTTGACTTTTTTTTTCCGACATTTCTTTGTGTCCTCATCAGCCTCTACTTCAAATTTATTGTCCCTATTCGCTTCCTTCTAAGCTCTCCTTCTTCACTTCCATTTATCTTCTTCACCATCCGTTCTTGCTGGTCACTTTTGGCTTTTTTACCTCATTTTCTTTTCCTGTTACTTCTACTTTTCGCTTTCTTTTTGTCCTCCTCATTCTTGTTTACGATTGCGTTGTTCTCTTTTAACCTCTCTTCTTTTTTCTTCTGCTTTCCCGCATTCGCTTTCTTTGTGTCCTCATCAACCTCTATCATGTATATAATGCTTGCTCTTCGCTATCTTTTTAACCTCTTATGGTTTAAACTACCCCTCTTCCTATTTTTATCCTACTTCTCTATATTTCTGGACTTTTTTTCTTTATTTGTATCCTTTTTACTTTAGTTTATTTTTCTTGCTTCTCTTTTTTATTCTTATTCCTCTCCCCACTTTCTTCCCTCGCAATTTTCTTTCTTATTAACTGTCCATTCTTTTCCTTTCCGTCTTCAAAATTGTCGTCTGCTAACTTAAATGTACTCTTCTCTCTCTTTCATTTTCATAATTTTCTTCCTCTTGTCTTTATCCATTTTGCTGTTTCGTTTTTTCCCTTTCCTATCTTCGCATCCTCCTCTTCCCCTTTCACACTCCTCTTCATTTTTCACATTATTTCATTTTATATTTATCTATATAATTCTCTTCATTCTTTCTCTCAACTTCATTGTGCATTTACTTTTAATTACCTTTTTTCTTGCCGTTTTTATTCTTTTTTTTTTTGCTTTTAATTTTACTCGCTTACGCCCAAGTAAAGTCATTTTTTCAAATATTTTATTTCTTATCACAGTGCTATCGTAAGTACACAATTTACTTTTCTTTCTATATTCATTTCCTCTAAGTCATTGATTCTACTCCTCCGTTACTTTCTCTTTTATTTTTCTGGAATTTCTTTCATATTCTTCCTGCATCGTGTCTTCTACATCGATTTAATAAGTTAGATGCAATTCAACGTTCATTTATCATTTTTTTCTCAACTTTTGTTCATTTTTCTTCGTATATTTCTTTTCTCCTTTTTTATCGCTGCTCTCATCAACGGTTTCTTCACGGCAAACTTTCCAAAAGAGAAAAAATACATTATCACACTCACAAATCTTTATTCTTATCCAATTAAATGATTTTCCCTTAAAAAAAAAATGCTTCCTTATTTTCATTGTCTTCAGTTGCCGTTTTGTTTCTTATATCTTTTCGATTAAATAAACACTTCTATTACATTTCCCATGTATTAGTCCTTGTGTTTTTATTTGCTTTCTTCTCGACTTTTTTGCGTTCGATATATTTCTCTCTTTTCCTTTCCCTCATTTTCAGCAACATTCTCCTCATTGTTTTCCACGCTATCATTTCTTTGACTCTTCCGTCTCCGTCACCGTTATTTTCTTTATTGTTTCCCCCATCATGTCTTCCACTCTTTCTTCTCTCTCACCTTTAGCTTCTTTTTTGTTTCTCTTATCATTTCTTCCTCTCTACCTTCCCCTTCGTCTTTATCTTTATTGTTTCCCCCATCATCTTTTCTCCTCTTCATTCTCCCTCACCTGTATCTTCTTTGTTGTTTCTCTTATCATTTCTTCCTCTCTTCCTTCTCCTTCGCCTTTATCTTTCTTGTTTCCCCCATCATCTTTTTCTCCTCTTCCTTCTCCCTCAACTTTATTTTCTGTGTTGTTTCTCTTATTATTTCTTCCTCTCTTCCTTCCCCTTCGTCTTTATCTTTCTTGTTTCCCCCATCATCCTTTTCTCCTCTTCCTTCTCCCTCACCTTTATCTTCTTTGTTGTTTCTCTTATCATTTCTTCCTCTCTTCCTTCCCCTTCGTCTTTATCCTTCTTGTTTCCCCCATCATGTCTTCCACTCTTCCTTCTCCCTCACCTTTATCTTCTTTGTTGTTTCTCTTATCATTTGTTACTTGCTTCCCCCACTTCGTCTTTATCTTTATTGTTTCCCCCATCATGTTTTCTCCTCTTCCTTCTCCCTCACCTGTATCTTCTTTGTTGTTTCTCTTATCATTTCTTCCTCTCTTTCTTCTCCTTCGCCTTTATCTTTATTGTTTCCCCCATCATCTTTTTCTCCTCTTCCTTCTCCCTCAACTTTATTTTCTGTGTTGTTTCTCTTATTATTTCTTCCTCTCTTCCTTCCCCTTCGTCTTTATCTTTCTTGTTTCCCCCATCATGTCTTCCACTCTTCATTCTCCCTCACCTTTATCTTCTTTGTTGTTTCTCTTATCATTTGTTACTTGCTTCCCCCACTTCGTCTTTATCTTTATTGTTTCCCCATCATGTTTTCTCCTCTTCCTTCTCTCCCTCACCTGTATCTTCTTTTGTTGTTTCTCTTATCATTTCTTCCTCTCTTTCTTCTCCTTCGTCTTTATCTTTATTGTTTCCCCCATCATCTTTTCTCCTCTTCCTTCTCCCTCACCTGTATCTTCTTTGTTGTTTCTCTTATCATTTCTTCCTCTCTTCCTTCCCCTTCGTCTTTATCTTTCTTGTTTCTCCCATCATGTTTTCTCCTCTTTCTTTCTCCCTCACCTGTATCTTCTTTGTTGTTTCTCTTATCATTTCTTCCTCTCTTTCTTCTCCTTCGTCTTTATCTTTATTGTTTCCCCATCATCTTTTTCTCCTCTTCCTTCTCCCCTCTTTTATCTTCTTTGTTGTTTCTCTTATCATTTCTTCCTCTCTTCCTTCCCCTTCGTCTTTATCTTTCTTGTTTCCCCCATCATGTTTTCTCCTCTTCCTTCTCCCTCACCTGTATCTTCATTGTTGTTTCTCTTATCATTTCTTCCTCTCTTTCTTCCCCTTCGTCTTTATCTTTCTTGTTTCCCCCTTCATGTTTTCTCCTCTTCCTTCTCCCTCACCTGTATCTTCTTTGTCGTTTCTCTTATCATTTCTTCCTCTCTTTCTTCCCCTTCGTCTTTATTTTTCTTGTTTCCCTCATCATCTTTTTCTCCTCTTCCTTCTCCCTCAACTTTATCTTCTGTGTTGTTTCTCTTATTATTTCTTCCTGTCTTCCTTCCCCTTCGTCTTTATCTTTATTGTTTCCCCCATCATGTTTTCTCCTCTTCCTTCTCCCTCACCTGTATCTTCTTTGTTGTTTCTCTTATCATTTCTTCCTCTCTTTCTTCTCCTTCGCCTTTATCTTTATTGTTTCCCCATCATCTTTTTTCTCCTCTTCCTTCTCCCTCAACTTTATTTTCTGTGTTGTTTCTCTTATTATTTCTTCCTCTCTTCCTTCCCCTTCGTCTTTTATCTTTCTTGTTTCCCCATCATGTCTTCCACTCTTCATTCTCCCTCACCTTTATCTTCTTTGTTGTTTCTCTTATCATTTGTTACTTGCTTCCCCCACTTCGTCTTTATCTTTATTGTTTCCCCCATCATGTTTTCTCCTCTTCCTTCTCCCTCACCTGTATCTTCTTTGTTGTTTCTCTTATCATTTCTTCCTCTCTTTCTTCTCCTTCGTCTTTATCTTTATTGTTTCCCCCATCATCTTTTCTCCTCTTCCTTCTCCCTCACCTGTATCTTCTTTGTTGTTTCTCTTATCATTTCTTCCTCTCTTCCTTCCCCTTCGTCTTTATCTTTCTTGTTTCCCCATCATGTTTTCTCCTCTTTCTTTCTCCCTCACCTGTATCTTCTTTGTTGTTTCTCTTATCATTTCTTCCTCTCTTTCTTCTCCTTCGTCTTTATCTTTATTGTTTCCCCCATCATCTTTTCTCCTCTTCCTTCTCCCTCACCTGTATCTTCATTGTTGTTTCTCTTATCATTTCTTCCTCTCTTTCTTCCCCTTCGTCTTTATCTTTCTTGTTTCCCCCATCATGTTTTCTCCTCTTCCTTCTCCCTCACCTGTATCTTCTTTGTCGTTTCTCTTATCATTTCTTCCTCTCTTTCTTCCCCTTCGTCTTTATTTTTCTTGTTTCCCTCATCATCTTTTTCTCCTCTTCCTTCTCCCTCAACTTTATCTTCTGTGTTGTTTCTCTTATTATTTCTTCCTGTCTTCCTTCCCCTTCGTCTTTATCTTTCTTGTTTCCCCCATCATGCTTTCTCCTCTTCCTTCTTCCTCACCTGTATCTTCTTTGTTGTTTCTCTTATCATTTCTTCCTATCTTCCTCCTCCTTCGCCTTTATCTTTATTGTTTCCCCCATCATGTCTTCCATTCTTCCTTCTCCCTCACCTTTATCTTCTTTGTTGCTTCTCTTATCATTTCTTCCTCTCTTCCTTTTCCTTCGCCTTTATCTTTATTGTTTCCCCCCATCATGTTTTCTCCTCTTCCTTCTCCCTCACCTTTAGCTTCTTTTTTGTTTCTCTTATCTTTTCTTCCTCTCTTCCTTCTCCTTCCCTCTTATCTTTATTGTTTCCCCCATCATGGTTTCTACTCTTCCTTCTCCCTCACCTGTATCTTCTTTGTTGTTTCTCTTTTCATTTCTTCCACTCTTCCTTCTCTTTCACCTTTATCTCCTCTATTGTTTCCCTCTCTCATGTATTCCACTCTTTCTTCTTCATTATCTTCTTTATTCTTTCCCCCTATCATTTCATCTACTTTTCGTTTTTCTCGTCACTTATATTTCATAATTTTCACTGTTGCTTGTCCCTCATCTTCCCCCTTCTTTTCTCTCTATCATTTTTCTACGGTTCCTCCTCTCTATCACTAATTCGAGTTCTTCTTTCATAACTATCGCCCTTCCTTCTCACATTAGTCTTCTTTTTTCTTTTCTCGCTATCATTTTTTCCAGTCTTGCTTTTCACCCTCTTTAAAATTCTCTCTCTCTCTCTCTCTCTGTCTCATTTTTCTACACTTCTTTCTTCTCCTTCTCTATTTTCTCTATCGAATATTTAATATCTTTCACGCGTCCGTGTTCATTAGTCTCCTTCACTGTTTTCTCTTACATTTCTTATTCCCATCGTCTTTATCCTCTTCAATTTTCTCACTATTATTACTTCCTATTTTCCCCCTACTACTCCTCCTACTCATACTGCTCCTCCCTCCTCCTCCTTCTTCTTCTTCTTCTTCTTCTTCTTCTTCACTTTTTCTCTCTATCATATCCTTGTTTTTCTTTTTTATATTTTTATCCACTCTTCGTCCGCCACCTTTTTTCTTTTTCTTCTGTGTTTTCTCTACCATTTCTCTCGTGCACCTTCTTTAGCCTTCTCTCTTCTACTTCCTCGTATTTTAAATGTTGGCCATTTATTTGTGTCTTCTTCCTTCTTTTTCTTTTCTTTTTCCTTCCATATATGTACTTTCGTCTTCTTTTCTTCACTGTTTTCTTCCTTTATCTACTGGACGACATGTTTATTACCATCTTTCCATTTTATCATATCTATGTCATTTTGCTTTCTCCCTGTCTCTATTTCCATTTCGTCCTGTTCACTTTTCTAACGTTCTGTCGTGCATTATATTCGTCATTGTTAATACTCTATCACTTTTCTTCCTTCTATGTTTTCCATTTATACGATTGTTAACGCCATGCATTTTCAAAGTATTACTTTTTAATTCTTTTCTTTTTTTTATCCCTCCTTGTTTATTTTGCCTTCCGTTTTCTTTCTTTCTTTCTTTTTTATCATTTTCTAAGATTCTTTCTCTGTGTACTGAAATGATTCACATATTGCACTTCATTCTCTATTGTTTCTTTTTGTTTTTTTGTTTCTTTTTTTGTTTCTTTTTTTTTGTCAGCATTATTGATTCACATTTTTCTTCGTTTCTGTTGTATTTACTTTTATGTATTTGATTTTTTTCCTTAGTCTTTTTAATTCTTTCTTTCGGGTTTCTTTACTCATTATATTCTCATTATTTTTTTTTCTCTTGACACGTAAGTGATTCAAATATTTCTTTTTTTTATTTTTATTTTTATTTCCTTCTTTTAGTTTATTTATTTATTTCATTTCTTTCTTTTTCCCTCCTTTCTTTCTTTCTTTCTTTCTTTCTTTTTTTTTTTCTATCTTTCTTCCTTTCTTTCTTTCTTTTTTTCTTTCTTTCTTTCTTTTTTTTCTTTCTTTCTTTCCCTTCATACTTTCATATACTTACAATCATATTTTCTTTTCTCCTTTACCTTCTTCTCAGTTTAACCAATCAATTCATCTTCTTTTAACGTCGCTTCCTATCTTTACTGACCTCCTCTGACATCAACATTTCTCTTGCATCTTTTACGCCTTGAAATTAATGTTTACTCACATTTTCTCGATATTTTCCGATCTGACCTGTTGTTGCCTCCTTTTCCTCAACATTCTTCTTCTTCTCCTTCTTCTTCTTCTTCTTCTTCTTCTTCTTCTTCTTCTTCTTCTTCTTCTTCTTCTAATACTAATGATACTTCGAGATATTCGTCACTACTGCAACTACTACTTCATCTTTTTCTTCTATTTCCTCATCTATAACTATAACTACTACTACTACTACTACTACTTTTACTACTACTGCTACAGCTTTTCTTCTATTTCATGGTCCTTTTCGTCTACTTCTTATCTATTTTTACTTCTACTACCATTACTACTATTGCATGTTCTCCTTCTTCTTCTCCCCTCCTCCTCCTTTAACTTAGCTACTATTACTACTACCGTTCGTTCTTTTTCATCATTTCACTGCTTCCAGAATACACCTCTCTCTGTTGCATGAGGATGTCCTCTTCCTCCTGCCCATTTTTACAGCCACTGCAACTGTTTTTATTAGCATTTACGTTCTAACCCCACCGCCGATATTACCCTCTCACTCCTAACGGCTAAATTGTTATCTTTTCCTCAATATCCCTCCCTCTCTAATAGGTAGCTGCTCCTGCTGCTGCGCGACATAACTTGTGCATGCTCCGAAGTTCTTGTTTTAACCTGCTGTAGACTATGATTAAGCGCCAACAACGAAGAAGACGAAGAGATCAGTAGTCAACCAAGCAATGTAATCAGCATTATCGATTTGAAACGTGTAGGCCAACCCAAACCGTTTATGGACTTGCCAGACCACACCTTACTCTCATTAATGTTACTTGCCTATTGCTTCTACTCTTCCGGTATGGTCATACCTTACTTCCTTTCTTTCTTTCGTTCGTTCTTTCTTTCGTATTTTCTTTCTTTCGCATTTTCTTTCTTTCTTTCTTTCTTTCTTTCTTTCTTTCTTTCTTTCTTTCTTTCTCTCTTTCTTTTTTCTTTCGCTCTTTTTTCTTTTCTAATACGTATTTTTTTTTTTAAATTCTTTCGTTTATCTCTGCATTTTACTACCGTCTTCAACATTTCTAAACATTTTTCATTTACTTTCGATTTCGTTTGCTGTTTCGTTAATTCCTTATACACTTATTTTCTGGGGTTCTTTGTTTCTTTCTTCTTTCTTTCTTTCATGTTTTCTTCACTTTCTCTTTCTTTCATTCAAACATCTCAAATATTTGTTTTAAGTTTATTTTATTTGTCAATTTTTTAATTTCTTTTTTTATTTCGCTATTTTTGTCTTCTTTCGTTTCCCTAAATATATTTATTCATTTTTATTTCCTTTTCTTTCTTTTGTTTTCTTTCTTTCTTATTGCATTGTTACGATACCTATTGACTAATTATAACTATCGGTCTAACTGTGTTCTTTGTTTCTTGATTTAATGATTTTCTCCTTTCTTCATTTCTTTATTTTTCCATTCTTTCTTTCTTTCTTTCTTTCTTTTTGCTTTCTTTTTTTCTTTCATTTTATTGCATTTATCTGATACGTACTGTCCAATAAGATTTCCGTCTGATTGCATACTTTCTTTAATTTTTCTTCTTCCTCCTCTTTTTTCCTAATCTTTATTTCTTCTTTCCTTGCTTTCTTTCGTTCTTTATGTCTTTCCTCATTTCTCTCCTTGTTACTTTCTTTCTATTTCAATTACATATTCCATTGGTTCAATGCTTATAATGTTTCTTCTTTGTTTCTTACTTTCTTTATCTCCTTTTTATTTATTTCTCTCATTTCTTTAATCTTTTCTTTCTTTCTTTTTTACTTACATATTACATTGTTCTGATACTTACTGCTTAACTATATTTCTTTCTATCTTTCTTACTATCTCTCTTTCCTTTCTTTCTGTATCTTGTTTTTTTTCTTTCGTTACCTCCTTTTGATTTCTGTCCTTTTACTTTCTTATATACTTACTTTTCTTTCTTTATCTAACTTTTCTTTCTTTCTTTTTCTATTTACATATTGCATTAGTATTATGATTATTTCTTAATTATCTTTCTTTTTTCTTTATTTCTTTCCCCCTTTCTTTCTTTCTTTCTTTCTCTATATTTTTATTTCTTTCATTCTTTGCTTTTTATTCATATATTTCCTTCTTTTATAATTGCATATTGCATTGCTCTAATGCTTATTGTTAATTGTCTATCTTTCTTCATTCCTATCATACTTTCTTTCTTTCTTCCTAGCTTTTTCTTTCTTTCTTTCTTTCTTTTTATCTTTTTCTTTCTTTCTTTCTTTCTTTCTTTCTTTCTTTCTTTCTTTCTTTCTTCTTGACTTGTAATTATTGCTTCCTTCTCTTTCCTTCTCTCTGGTTTCCTTTGCTTCTTTCTTCTTCTGCAAATCATTTATTTGTACAATTAGTTTATTGGATATTCCTTTCATTATGTTGATAATCGCTACAGTATTTTAATGTTCTTCCTTAGATTCATTAAACGTATCATTTCAGTTTCTTTTTATCTTAATTTAACACACACACACACTCACACAAACGCCATAACGCATTCATATCCCCGTTAATAATAATCCACTTATAATAGGTCCTATTTCGCCCAATAAAGCCAAAACAAATGAATCAAATTAATATTTCCCGACGATATATACGCATCCATAAACGTATTTTCATACGTAAGTTTAAACTTATATAAACTACAGTATTTCACCGACGAAAAAGAACACAAAAGTGTTTCCGTGCCTTCGTGGACGACGGATTACTCTTCACCCTATGACCTTACTTCCACTTGTGGAATGTGGCCAGATTATCGCTGCTCTACCCCGGAAAACATTCGGACGAACTACATTCCCTGGTCCCGTCGAAAGAATCCTTGACAGCATGAACACGCCATACCACGTACATAGTAGCAAACCACAAACGTTCCCTCCGTATTCAATAAATGAGATATAGCTTATACTCCAGCAGCTTCTTCCCGCAATCCACTGCTTTTGGAACCAACTCCCAATAGGATGTTTCCTAGATCACTGCAATATTCAAATCTAGGGCTAACAGTTACCCTCCACTCCTTTACACACAAATAACCATCAAACGCAACCCTCTATTTTGAGTTGACCACGGACTAATTGATTGCACCACTGTAAAAAAACAAAGAAACAAAAACACAATAACATGCACATAAAAAGTACAAAAATCAAGAATGTATTTGTTTATATCCCAATAAAAGTTTTAATCATATGCATCTATTTGTTAACGATAGCCTACCTACCTACCTACCTACCTACCTACCTACCTATCTATCTAACTATCTATCTATCTATCTATCTGCTTGTCTATCTATTTATCTATATAGCAATCTATCTACTTGGAAAATGTTTATTTCATTTAGAATTGTCGAACAGCCGTATTTATCGAATGATTATAAACAGTCTTACAATTACGGCCGAAGGAAGAGAATTATCATGCAAACTATTTCAAGTAAAAGGCTTATATCTATCTATCTATCTCTCTCTCTCTCTCTCTCTCTCTCTCTCTCTATCTATCTATCTATATATATATATATATATATATATATATATCTGTTTGTCTATCTAACTAAATATCGTCATAAATGAATAAGCAGATATAGAGTGCTTGTGTTTGCGAAAGAGAAACAGGATATAGTCACTTAAACTCGATACTGATAGAATTTATGATGTATTTAGACTACTTTGTTTTAATGAGTAACTTTTGAAATCCACTTATATGGCGAATAACTTTTCATCTAAGCAGGAAGGATATTTTAGCAAATAAAGACTGGCATATGGCGGGAAAATTAAACTGCAATACAAGTATGCACAATGTAATACATTTGGAGTGTAAATATTTTGCTCACTTCGCGAAATATTATATAAAAATATATATATAAAACGCAAGCATATATGTATATCTATATATTTACACACATATATATATATAATTCACAAAGCTTTTTGCCCTCATTAGGTAGGCGCCTTCAGGTCAGAATAAAAGATATATATTTATGTACATTGGACCTGAAAAAAATACCTAAATAGGTTGTCAATGAAAATATTTTCCGTTTTTTATTCCACACTTTTATTTCATGTGCCATATCTTAGTAACACACACAGACGTACACACACGCACGCACACATACAGACAGACGTATATATATATATATATATATATATATATATATATATATATATAGATAGATAGATAGATAGATAGATAGATAGATAGAAAAAGCGAAATAGATACATAGATAGATAGATAGATAGAGAGAGAGAGAGAGAGAGAGAGAGAGAGAAAGAGGGAGATCTGTGTAAAATGATAAATCCAAAGGCTGTTGATCGAGAGATTGGTGAATTTAAGTAGCATGGAACCAACTCAGAGTTGTTGTTGTGAGCTAGAATCCCTGATATAATCAAATAATGAACCGCCAAATAAAACACTATATAATTATAAAATATATAATTTATAGTAAAATATAAGCAACAAAATTGTATATAAAAAAGAGCGACAATACATATTTATAAGGAAAAAACCAACACAACATGTTTATAGCAAAATTATAAACAATACAATTTTAAAGCAAAATTTCCGGCAATACAATTTATAATAAAATTGCAACCAGTACAGTTTATAGCAAAACACTCAACAATATGTTTTATCGGTAGCTGAAGGCATACAACTGTTTTCAAGATATATTTAGTTGAACCCATAAAATTGTGTTCAAATATTTCAATTAAATTTCGGCATTAAATTACACACGAGGAGTTGATATTTCATAAAAAAAAAAACAAATCAAACAAATCAGCCAATCATGAAAAACAAATAAATCTTCCTCTTAATGCTTCAATTCAATGAAAAAGATTAATATATAATGAATAATAATTTTATTGCAAATATTGGTCTCATTTTTGTAGTATATATATATATATATATATATATATATATATATATATATATATATATATATATATATATATTGTATCATGCATTTAGATCGCAATTTTTTAATTCAGAAAAGTTGAAAAATACCAAAAGACGTCGTTTTTCAATGATATATTGGTTTATATTTGCATCTTTCAGAAAACATTTTCAAAAAGATTTCTTACTTATGATGTGTCGGTGTCACGGTTTTTTTTATTTTTTCCTGCTCGCATTTTTAAATATTGCGTTTTTACGCAACCTGCCATTTTCTTATGTTTCATGTTTTGTAATCATGAAATATATTTACCATGTTTTTCTACATTTGTTATTAAGCTTTGATTATACGTTGTTTGATTGTTGTTTGTTTGTTGTTTTTTTTTTTTTGGTTTTTGTTTTGGTAGCCAATGAACCTTGTATTTATCTCTGTGTTCTGCAGTTAATAAAACATAGCAATTCTTTGGGGGAGGTGTTTTTCAATGCCCAAATAATCAACTCGTGGTATATTCTGTAAGTAAGATATGTGGTCCTTAGTTGCAGTTTCTGAAACGGAGCAAATATTCTGGCGTGTTCAGGTGTCTGAACATGGAGAGTATGCTAAAATGCTCAGTCACAAAGGCTATAATTATGTTGCAGCTAAGTAGTATTTCAACATGTGCGGGTTGGGGTAGAAATGCATCTTATTGACTCTTGTCGTATTTTTGGGTAAAGTGTCCGTAAATGTTTCATCGTTTTCCGGATATATGTAGCTAGTCGAAAACGTTGGAATCGGAGAGCCAAGTTCGAATTCCATTCTTATCCATGACATTCACTTATATACTAATGGCCGCGGGAAAGGTATGAAACCTCTTCACCCCCAGTTATGGGTCAATAGTAGGACAGACAGTGTTGTTTAACATTGGATAGTAAATGTTCTAGGAGAAGGACAACTATGAATTTAAACCTGCAGATGGTCGTTTGGGTACCTTGTGGCACGTAGTGCACCAGTCCTCTGTACTCGGCCTTTCCGAACAAAACCTTCACAAAAACAATCAAATCATATGTGCTGGTGTATGTCGGTTCCTTGGAACTGAGCTGATTGACCCTCATACATCGAATACGAAGGAGACTCCTATATATATATATATATATATATATATATATATATATATACAAACACTATATATTAACTGTAAGTGTACATTTTTCCTCACCGTAGCCGACTTTGTGTTTCCTGCAACACACTCTCAAGGCGGTGTGTTAAGATTGACCGCAGGGGTTATATTTATATATATATATATATATATATATATATATTATATATATATATATATATATATATATATATATATATCGAATTATCATAGTAATGGAGCAATAAAACTCATTCGTAATTGGTTTAACAAGACAAGCTTTCTAACCATTACACTACGTCAAAGTGTCCATGCCAAATAGATAGATAGTATTAGAGACAATCAATCAATGGGTAAATTCTTGAATCATTTTCTGAATATATATATATATATATATATATATATATATATATATATATATATATATATATATATATATATATCGAATTGCCATTGTAATGGAGCAGTAAATATTTTATTTATTAGATAGATATATATATATATATATATATATATATATATATATATATATATATATATATATATATATATCTAAAAAAAACATATAAAAAATTTAAAACACACATTCACACAACTTATACACTAGAGGTTACAAGGGCATAACTTTTAATTCAAATATCAATATACAGATCAAAGTAATTCTAAAGTTAATACAATGTTAGCCACAAGTACATCTTATGTCATTTCTATTAATAAGTTTATGGGGATTGTTGTAATCAGAACTCCTTCTTGGCCCGGTCCAAATCTAAATCACTAAAAACAATTTTTCTCCCCCCTCCAAAATCACCCTTACTAATTGCTTTAAGCCTAATAACTCGGACGAACTACATTCCTTGCTCTCGCCGTACAATCCTTCTCAGCAAGAAAACACGCCATGCCACTTACATAGTAGCAAACCGTCAATATTCCCTCCGCATTCCATAAGTGAGAGATAACTTCTAATCAAGCAACTTCTTACTGTGAACCACTGGCCTTTGGAACCGACTCCCAATAGGATATTTCTCCGATCACTACAATCTTAATGTGTTCAAGGCTAGAGATTACAGTTATCCTTCACTCTTATATACACAAATGGCCTCCAAACGTAACGTTCTACTTTCAATGGCCTACGGGCTTCGTAATTGCATCACTGTAAAGCACAAACAAATGCACAATAACATGCACATAAACAGGTACAAAAATCAATGTTATATCTGTTAAAAGAGTTTTTAATCATATGCATGTATTTGTTAAATATAAACTGTCTATCCACAGTATCTATCTATCTATCTATCTATCTATCTATCTAATGCCAGTGTTTGTCTATCTATATAGAAATCTATCTACTTGGAAATGGTTTATTTCATTTAGAATTGGCAAACAGCCATATTTATCGAATGATTGTTAACAGTCTCACAATTACTGTCGAATGAAGAGAATTATCAAACGTACTATTTCTACTTAAAAGCATCTATCTATCTATCTATCTATCTATCTATCTATCTATCTATCTGTAACCAATACTTTTTCATCTAAGCAGTATGGATCTAGATAGCAAATAAAGACTTACATATGGCGGGAAAATTAAACTGCAATCCAACTCTACACAATAACATATATTTGGAATCTAAATATTTTACTCACTACGCGAAATATTATATATATATATATATATATATATATATATATATATATATATATAAACACATCAAAAATTGCATCACCAAAAATAAATACATCTTGAAGGTTTATAAAAGCAATTATTCTTCGGTGCATCGAATATTGCAACTACATCTTGCTTTGTACTTATGCTAAATGTCTCGATATTCTTGTCAAAATCCAAAGGAGATATTGCAATATTATCTGTTTTGATATGGCATCTTGATTTCAGTAACAATCTCACCGCCATAAGGTGGCTTCGTTGTGTTGTTTCCATAAATATTTCCATAGCAATTGTTCTAATTTTCAGGAAATGAAACATCGTCCGTGGAACTCATTTCCGCTTTCTAGCTTTTCTGTCAAGTAAAATTCAAAGATTTAAATGAAATTTCAGTCACCGTCATGCCTTTTCTCTTATCTTTTCCCCTCTCTATCTGTAAAGTCTCTTCTTGTTAGTGCCATTATCGCCTTGCTTGGAGTGAAATGCCAAACTGTTTGTTAATGTATTAGAAGTCACCTGGATAATTAGTCTTTAGCAAATTACTCTTGTTGAAGCTGCACTAAATTCTATGGCCAGGTCAATCCTCATAGTCGGTTTCAGATTTAGGAAGTTTTAAATTGTTTTCGGCATTCCTGCAATCTTTGGGAGGAAATCTATCTATTTCTTTCGTCTTTCCGGAAATGATCTATTCTGTCTTTATATCTCAGGAATCGGTTGCACGAACTTATGTTAAATTGGCAACCAAACCAGCATGATATTAATGCGCATTCGCGAACGTAGACACAATCATTGGCTTATTTATTCAGCAGAGATTCGTTTTAAGGGCGCTTTTGTAACGTGTTACTGTCAGCATTACTATCTACGGAGTTACATTCCCTCTCGTGCAATATGTTTTCTCGAAACATTCTATCAGACAGGTCAATCAGGTCAATCAGTGTCCAATAGAGTTCAGTTCTGACTATATATTTGAAAAAAAATCGCCGACATAGATTAAAAAAAAAAAAAATACTTATAACGATGTTGGTTATCCCGTATGAGATAATCCAGATTATTTTGTGTTGAGTTGAAAGAATGTTTTTCCTCTATTTCACTAGATTATCTATTTGTCGATTCTTTAAAATGTCATGATATATTCCATACGGACATAAGCACACCTAATGATAAATACACACGAATATATGTATGCATATAAATATATATTAACTGCTAACCTCGAGTATTTATTGACTGATGGCCAAATAACGTTGGAACACTAGTTCCGATACGATCAGCGAAGTTAAGCAATGTACATCTTGCTCAGTACTTGGAATACCATGAGCTGTAAGCTTGGTTGTACTGTGGGTTATAATGGATAACGGCTTAGAGTTGTTACTCGGAGAGCCGTGTTACAATTCTAGTTGTCTCCGTTATATTCACTTTACTCACAATACCCTGGGGTAAGGTATGAATCCACCTCATCCACACCCTAGCCTAGGTGTTAATTAGGAACATATGTACCACTAAAATTCTTATTATCATCCTGCCGATAAATAAATAAATAAATAAATAAAATTGACCATAGAATATATAAATTTCGGCATTAAATAAACCATAGATGTTTATACACGACTACATACAAAGCTACGAACCAACATGTTTTTATGACGCCAACTAATAAGTATCTCATTTATAGGCCCTTGCCACGAAGATTGCAACCCCAAGATTTTTTTTTTAACGCAAATATCTAGTACCTCAGTCAGTGTTGTGCCATGCGTGATACACGTTTAGATGATCATGTATCTTTCGACACATGACTGACGAGGCAGATGTTTTTCCTACGGTAGTTTGCCATATCATTCTACAGCAGACCACCTGCCCTCCAATGCTATAGAACACGGTCTGTCCTGCTATTTACCCATAGCTTGTGGAAAGGAGAAGGATATTAGCACGTAAGTGAATGTAATGGATTCGACTGGAATTCGAACTCGGCTTTCCGATTCCTTAATCCGAGCCGCTATCCATGACTCCATCAGTGCCTAATAAAAGAACGAAAAATCTTACTGGTAACTAAAAATGAAGCTCATGGAAATTATAACACATCAAAGAGTTATTTTTTATTGCTGAAGTCGGCAATTATTAAACTGGTGTTTGAATTCAGATCTTGTAATTAATCTTTGATGGTCACCTTGTTAACTGACTTATTGATTTATTCGTGACGTATATTTAAAAAATCTGATTATTTTCAGAACTTTTGGAATTTATACACGAATATATACTTCATGATCACCCCGCAAGTTGCCTGCTCATCTTTGTATCCCGTTAAACTGGGGGTGTATATTAGGGTGAATGGAGTCTCTCTGAGCCTTGGTTGCAAATCCATTTAGTGTTGGTGCCACGATAAAAACACCCTTGATAGCCCTAGCGAAGCATCAAGAATTCAGCTATTTGACAAGATTATGAACTACACCAATCAAAGTATTGGTGAGTTCAATCTCGGCTGAGACCGCAAGATGATGATTAGCATCCCACATCAATATCAAGAATCTTTAATGTTGCATCAACAATTCCTCGATGTTTTAATTTTCATTTACATAATCACTATCTGTGTACAATTATCTTCGTCTGCTTTATCTTGCATCCAAGAATTTAATTTCTTCTTTTCTGACCGCTTCATTTGTGATGATGGCTTTGATGACTAATTTGGCCAATTCTTGCAATGAAAAATCGATGGAATTTACTGCATGATATTCGGGGAGATCAATCTTAGATTTTGGCGAACCTTTCCTTCTTATATTTTCATTCCTTCCTTTTATTGTCTTGTAACTTTGTAAGTTTTTGTACTGATGGTGATGGAACACCGCCATTTGGTAGGTCTCGGGCTTGGGTTTCAAACGTTTCAAGTTCACTTCCACTTGAGGTGCAATTATGCATGCCACTAATTATGCGTTTCTTTCCCTGACAGTAACAAGAATTGCATTTATACACCAAAAATATAAACGAAGATTTGCTTCCAATAAATTCAATAAGCTTAAAATCGGTTTTGTCACTGATAATTTTTTCAGGCGCGCCGATAAACACACACAAACACACACACACACGCGCACACACACACGCACACACGCGCACACACACGCGCACACACACACACGCACACACACACACACGCACACACACACACACGCGCGCACACACACGCGCGCACACACACGCTCACACACACACGCGCGCGCACAAGTAGAAACATACACGCACGCACAAACACAGACACACTCACGCTCAAAAGCACTCACACACAAACACAAGGATATGGATATGTTGTCATTAATTTAAATGTTATATTTAGTAGATACGTGTTTTTAAGTAGATGCCACGTTTTTAAAGTGAACCATTACGTATAGCGGTTTGAGTAACCTAATTCTTAATGAAGATGGTGTTAAACCCGTCGTTGTTTTATACCACTCAGCTGCAGAAGACGTTGCTGTTGGATTTTCGTTAAAAACGATTGACAAGGTACTGCGGTTAAGTTTATTTTATTTTATTTTCTTGTCTCTTTATAATTGTCTTCTTTGCTGGACATAAATCATGTAGAAATTGTCCGAATGTTCTGTTTGTCGGAGCGTTTAAAAATAAAATTAAAATCCACTGGATATGGCAAAATGTATAGATGAAAACGCCCGTTCGGACACACGGAATATTCGGACAATTTCTACATAATTTAAGATGAAGGAATTCATAAGAACACAATAAAAACTAATTAAAAAAAAACTAAACTGCAGTACCCTTCTTAATTAAAATCCGACAGTAAATGAAACTTGTATAAAAGATGCATTGCTTTCCACATACACAATTACAGACATTCGCACACACACAAACACACACACACACACACACACACACACACACACACACACACACACACACACACACACACACACACATATATATATATATATATATATATATATATATATATATATATATATATATATATATAAGTGTATGAATGATTCATATAATTATAAATTAAACTGCACTTATAATCGAAATTAAAATAACTGATCCAACGTGCCACTTTCGGATAGTAAGTGTGACATTCCTGTAATTATTGAACAATATAGTTCATGCCACATTGACGGAAAACCTACCAGTACAAAAGAATTCTCTTATTACTGTATTTGTACAAAAACGCGCAACCTTAAAATTTTAAATTCAAACTCAGCATTGCGACCCCACGTTCCAATACAATAACACATTTCTCATAGCATTTTTTCGGATTACATCAATATTTTCGTTGTCCTCTTATTACCGAGAAGTAAAAAACAAAAACAAATCTATTTCCATACCTGAGGATGTCTGTAGGAACAGACGAAAGCTTGTAAAAACTAAAAAAAGACCTTATGAAACTGGAATTTATAAACAGGGACCATATCATTCATATACAGGTTCGAGGTTAGTGTATCTTATTGAAATTGTATTCTCACCATTTAAATCATTAACCTCTATATTTGTTTTTTGTATGAATGATTCATGTAACTATATATATATATATATATATATATATATGTCTATATTACTGAGTTTATTTATGAGCACTCTTTAATGAGCACTCTTTACTTTATTCGAACTATTGTCCTCATATTTGTTGGCATATTTATCACAAAGTTTCGGCCGTTGTCCTTCTTCGGGTGGTTGGAATGTCGAATTGAACAATTTATCTCGCTCTCTGGGGTAGACTATTCTACTTCCACGTGCCATGTCTAATGTATGTTAATTATCAGTTATCTCCTGTTAATTCCCCTCTCCAAGTTTTCACCGCCTTAACACTTGTCACAGTGGATAAAGGCATTAGTTAGATCCAGTTACAGGATCCAAAGTGTGTGAGTTCAATAACTTGATATTTCTCCCACATAATCATTTTTGAACTTTAAGAATTTATTTGATCAATCCCGGAATTTTAATTGGTGTTGGGTTTATTTTTCTTCTCAATTATATCTGCGATTGTTTTGGAGATTATGGTAACAATCCTAGTGTTAGGAATGACTAATTGGTTTGCAAGATTAGTAGAAAGATTTTTGGAGGGCAGGATTATGAAGTTTATGTAATTTTTGTTTGCAGTGATTTTGTTGTTGCCTGTTTTCTTGATTTTGTATGGTCGAACTCTTCTCCTTCATGGGTTTTATTTCTAAGTGTTTTAATATTATAATATTTATTTACATAGAATCTTTCAGTGGAAAAAAGTAGAAAAGAAAGAAAGAGAGAAAGATATAAGATATAGTCTCCACTTAAAAGAAAAAAAGAAAGAAAGACACAAGACATCGTCGAAAAAAGAGAAAAAGAAAGACAAGATATAGTCTCTTCAATAAGAAAATAAAGAAAAAAAGAAGAGCGGAAAGGAAGGAAAGACAAAAAAATAAAAGCCTCTTCTCAAAAGGAAAAGAGAAAATAACTATAAGGAAGATATATATATATATATATATATATATATATATATATATATATATATATATATGTAACCCGGATATAAGAGAGTTGTCAGGACCGGAGAAGTATCTCTTATATCCGGGTTTCTCTTATATGAGGGTTGGGTCTAATTTATATACATTAACGCCGGCTCTAATTTGGGACCAGAGAAAATCTCTCTTATATCCGGGTCTCTTATATCCGGGTTACAGTGTATATACATACATATATATATATATATATATATATATATATATATATATATATATATATATATATTAGTTACCTGTAACAGTTGCGTTTTGTTTGTCAGCCAATGATCTCCATTTGAACGGTTTACTCGATACGTGTTAAATCACACACAGGCACACACACACAGAAAGCGAGAGAGAGGGGAGGTCACATAAAAATTGTATATAGTTTTTTAATTAATGCTATTCTAGAATAAGTTGCCTCAAGGTCACGGGAATTAATAATAATAATAAAACTTCAAAATATTACATTTAATACTGAAAGTTATTTTTGAAAAGATAAGCAAAATGGATCGTAGCATTTTCTTTTATTCTTTATGACAAATAAAAGCTATTTTATTCCAAATTGAGCTATGGTGCCTCCCCAATATCTTACCCTCGCATCTTTATTTTGCCTATGTACTAAATTATTCCAAAGAAAATTCTTTGCTTCTAATACAAATGGTGAATGACCTAATTCTACCTCCAATGACCTCATTTAACCTAAGAGTTTAGATTTGTCTTTATTGAATCTATCATTTATGCGATCCTGAAATATTTTCATAGCTCCTCGCAAATTAATTATCTGAAAATCAATTTGCTAAAAATTGCTTCATTTGACAAGAAAATGGCCAATTGTTTTATTTCTTGACTTCCGTTTTACTCTATTGACCTCCGATTTGTTCATAACGTACATATAGAGACAGTGTTAGGGCTAATAATAGTCATATATTATTTTTTAAAGTAATAACGTTTGATAGTGACTACAGCTCATCGGGAAACAAGTTTTTTTTTTATTATTTCAAGTGTAAAGAAATATAGATTTTCCTGAAAAAATTTGAAATGATGTTTTCAAATTATTTATTATTTCCGTATATTCTTCAACTCATGAAATCTTTTCTCAACAGAAAGAAATCAAAATCCGTAGTTCTTAAATCTGGTGAGTATGGAGAATATGGATGACGTTCCAACACTGACGATCTTATTATTATGGGATGTTTTTATTAGCAAATTGTGCCATTGCAGGTTCAAACTAGTAGATGACGCATTTTTCTACTTACTAAAGTCTAACACTGTTTAGAAAATATTCCAATTAGTCGATGAAATTGCACTAATTAAATGCCTGCAATTATGGTCCTTCTGATGGAGGTCGCCTTTCCTATTATACGAGATGCAAGGACTCCTAGAGATGTAATATTTGGGTTTTTCTGTTTCGCATTTTCTAAAAATCATTATTTCTCGTTTCATTTGACATGTAAAACCTATTTTTCCGCTTTATACCAATGCAATAAAAATGAAAGTGTGGTAATCCTAGTTAAAAGTCTGTTGCAGATGATGGAAACATGAGTTCCGTTGTCAAGTCAGAGAACAAGATGAAACCACATTTTTGTTTGCAAACTGCATCAATAAAAATTAGATGAATTAAATCATATGTATGTTTCTCAGCCAATAAAATCCCTGGAATTAGGGAAAATATTTTCACGAGTCAGCTTGAAAATATTTTCTAACCAATAAAAAAACCTGGTTTTCAATAAGTTCACACTTGTATATGAAATTAAATGTTGAATAATCTTACTGATATAAAAATAGAAGTCTACTGCTTCTCTGGGCTCAAAACAATTTCGAGAGCCAGTCTAATTTAAATGTGTTTATATTGTTAACAAGCATACAATGGAGGTTTGACAGCCAGCAGCAGCCGAAGTAAGTCTTGTAGACATACACAATATAGGAGATTAAAAAGCAAAAGCCTACTAAACCTTTGTCTACGAATTCACACAGATATTACGATGAACGTGATAGAGTAAGACTGTCCACACATTTCACATAGCACTACGAATATTTGTCTTAGGATAATGTTATATCGTGGATAATACGATATAATCAAACCAGTAATCCCGAGTAGAAAGGTTACACTAACACAGAAATTAGGTAAAAGAATAACAAGGTATTTTTGTACGGAAAGTACGAGTAAGAGTTCATAAATATAACAATCAGTAAAAGGGGAGATACATCACGGATATCGTAGTCGTCCTTTTTCTATTACTACAATAGTTCGTCTTTTATTCTCCCAGTCACGTCTCTTCTACACTGACCAATCGTAGTCGTGTTTTTTGTATTACTACAATAGTTCGTCACGTCTTTTATTCTCCCAGTAACGTCTCTTCTAGACTGACCAATCGTAGTCGTCCTCTTTCTACTACTACTACAGTAGTTCGTCACGTCTTTTATTCTCCCAGTCACGTCTCTTCTAGACTGACCAATCGTAGTCGTCCTTTTTCTTTTACTACAATAGTTCGTCACGTCTGTTATTCTCCCAGTCACGTCTATTCTAGACTTTACCAATCGTAGTCGTCCTCTTTCTACTACTACAATAGTTCGTCCCGTCTTTTAATCTCCCAGTCACGTCTCTTCTAGACTGACCAATCAATGTCGGGGTGTGTTAGGTTGTTCCACTCTAACAGATTCGATCTTCACTGCAAGGAAATTAAAATATTTCATTCGCATTGTATATTTCTGAAATGAATACATAAATTCTATTTAAACTGACGTACTACTTTTACGTTTCTTTCAGCAATTTACCTTTGTATATTTCATTTAAACGATATTGTTGCTCTTTTTGCTGTTAAATGTTTGCAACCCGACTCTTAGATAGCAACAAAGCATGGGTAGCAAATCGCGAGGAAATACCGATAGTTCGGCTTTGGATTGTTTACTCATAATACATTCCAGTAAAATATGTAATATATATATATATATATATATATATATATATATATATATATATATATATATATATATATATATATATATATATATATATATATATGTGTGTGTGTCTGTGTGTGTGTGTGTTAGTCCCCGTTGATCTGAAGTGGAAATATGATAATTAGTCAGTTGTTCTTTATGCTGCAAAAGAAGCCGGTTCACTGTGTCGTAAAAGAAAAGGACAGTTTTTTTCTTATTGAATGTTCTACGCAATCAGTTTCATTTCTCACATTTCTCACTTGAGGAACTTCCTTCCGGCTCCCCGATCTCCAGCAAACTTCAAACTGCAAACATTTAAATGTAGTGTCAATCGCTATCTACTATTTTCCTGGTTACACTTCTTTTGTTTTTCGTCCTTATTAATGTATCTGTTTCTAATTCTTTCACACCAGCACACAGTTTGTCTTAGTGGCTTTACTGCCTTACATTAGAGTGCAATCGATTTATATATACCGTGTGTAACAGCAACAATTTCCAATCCTGTAACCCCAAAATTGTCCACTTGTTAGATTAAGCTATGATACGTTGTTTCTTAGAATTGATTAAAGATATCTTACCAATATGGTCTGAGATTTTTATAACACTAATAGTCTCTACTTTGAACAATAAGAATAAATAATTGCTCTCTAAGCTTAACAGACGTATCATGATGAGTTTGATCATGAAGGGAAATGACATTTTCATTATTAATCAATCCATGCTAAGGATCGAAATTCATGCAGTATTGAAATAATGTTCATATATATATATATATATATATATATATATATATATATATATATATATATATATATATATATATATATATATATATATATATATGTGAATAATGTTCATATATATATATATATATATATATATATATATATATATTATTTCAGTACGATTTTGCAACTTATTGAAAATGATGCTCGAAACCATTTAACTTCGTGTATTGATGTAACTAGTCGCTTTATATTTTTTACTATGTTTTCACTGCTATTATGACTCTCATAGTTTAAATTCCTCCCTCAACTGCCAAACGTCTTATGGATTGAGTTGGATCCTCCTAATAGAACCCTTTAGTTCCAAGTTGAAAATGCGAACCCCCGTCCTTATCCAGTTTTTTTTCTAAACTGTTCCTTCTTTTTTAACCTTATTCACCTTTCTCTTGATTGTTATTGGAAGCACTTTGAAGGTGGAAGCCCGAGTATTAACTCTGTTACCATAAGAACTGATAGATATTTTCCTCTTACAATTGCTCAGTTAAAAAAACGGTGGCCCTCACGCAAAACTTTGTTAACCTGTTCTCTTTTTGGCTGAAGGTCTCAATGATTCATCCGACAAATTTTGTCAAGATACCTAACCGTCTTATCTGAAAAACTGGATAAAAGTAACTCAGTTTAGTGGATGCTTAGAAAGTAAATATTTTGTGGGATTGATATTTACGTTGCTAGAGGATTTGGACAATATTTTTGTTACATACGGTATATATATATATATATATATATATATATATATATATATATATATATATATATATATATATAAGTGCGACTCAAATGTCTTTGCACCAATAACATTTCTAGAATATACACATTTAAACAAGTGTAATGGCTTGTGTAAACATTAGAATAAATATATTTAATTTAAAAAAACATGTCGAACGTGATATAAAGTTTTAAGTAACGAAAATCTCCATATTATTATTTATTTAATGATTTCTATGTATTTCAGGTGAATCAAAAGTGTTTGCAGAAATCACTAACTTTAAAATAATGACGCGTGGGGAGATGCTTACTGCTGTTGAAATACCAAAATATCAAAATTATCCTCAAATGGTAAAACCACACTGGATATAGCAAAAATAATTAAACGAGATCATCACACAGTGAAGCAATATGTCAATTATGAAAATCTATTTAAATAGATCATGTTGAATGAAGATATATATATATATATATATATATATATATATATATATATATATATATATATATATATATAAATACCTTCATTCAACATGATCTACTTAAATTGTTTAGATGTATTATGTTATGGCACCATTTACCAAGGCAAAAGAAAAGAAAGGAAAGAAAAAAAAAGAAAGGAAAAGAGAGGCGAGACCCAAAGCGTGGATGATAAGTAGGACACCCACGGCTATGGATAAAGGATATTTTGATAAGTAACAAATGGCGAAGAGTGTCATTACAATGGCAGGGAAATTCTGAGTGGATAAAGGAATCGGGTGTGTTCTGGCGACGGGCTGGTGTTATCGGGGATACATAAACAAACCGCTAATGCGGGAAGACATCTGATTAAGCAAAACCACAGACCGACTAGCCAAAGAAAAATCCAATTGAAAACGTTATTTTGATAATTGACATAAAACAGGTGAACTACAGGGCTTTGGATAGATATAAAAAATTAATTGTGTCAAAGTCGCGACCGACCGTTTTCTTTCGACAGAACAAATTTAGCCTGCGATAATAAAACTATGTTATCAGAAATGTTCACCAAAGGATGAATGGAACCATGGAAATGTTTTTTTTTTCGAGGCGACGGATGATTGTGTTGTGTCAAATAGACCACGCATTCTGATAATTAGCGATAAGCTGACTGACGATGTCCAGATGAGACCGGGGTAAAAACAAGGGCCGCGGGATCGTACACGCCCGACTAGACATCATTGGTCGAGTGGTGATCAAGTTACGCAAGGATGAAGCTGTCACCGCCCATTCAGAGGATGGGTATGAGAGGTTGCTACGAAGAAGTGGGGAGGGCAGTTCACGCCCCTCTGATGTATGGTGAGAAGGTGGGAGTAAGAGAGGGCTACCAAATATGGAAAGAAGTGGAAAATTCCTAACCAAAAATAAGAAAATTGGATAGGTATTTAGAATTATCGAGGAACCCCCGGCGCCGACAAACCCACCCCGGTTTTGGTCGGCGTCCATATAAGCAAGGCCGCAGCGAGCAGAAATCAGTTCAGTTCTTGAAGCAAGCCTCGCACCGGCTGACCAAGATTCACGCAATTTCCGGACTCCTCTTCAATCCAAGAACAATTATTTTGAAGAGCGACTTAGATCCGGACCACCAAAATAAGTTTTTTTTTCGACTTTCGCCCGAAGACACACCGAAAAACCAATTTCTTAAAGAGCAAACAACTTGAAGCGTTAAAACTCGCCTAACGGAAAACAACGTGTCACAATCCATAGAACGGGTCGGGAGATAGACGCAGTCCTATGTATCCAACAACTAGACATAAAGTTTGTTATACTTTTTTTGATACCTTGAATTTTTGAGTTATCATTTTATTTTATTTTATGTATATTTGTGCGGTGTCACCCCCGTTTGAACCCGATTTGCATTACGGCCCCAACTACTGATTGATTTCGTCTGCCTCAATTCACAACGTGGGTAGGCAGACTGGAGATCAATGCAGTTACTTTGGTAACCAGGCGTTGGAAGCGAGTTGGGAACGACGAGGCTGATATCGAATCTAACCAGATTCCCATCCGAATCACCAAAAGTTTAGAACGTCACATTTGGGTGCCGCGACCGATACCAAGCCAGTTGGTCGTCACAGGACGAGACAACTCGACTGACGCGACAGGCGGACGTCACGTTTGGAGCGGTGACACCCGAACGAACCAGCGAGGAGCGAGCGAAGGCTGTGTTTAGGGACGTCACAATGTCCATTTATTTTTATTTTAATCCTCTATAGTTCACGGATTAGTTTCTTTGTGCTTCTAAGAAATTGGTAAAGGGTATGTGATGATTATCCTTTATATGATATTATTTTCACAAGTATTTTCAATTTCTTCTGACATCATCTTCAAGGGTTGAATTTTTAAGATAAAATGTTGTTATAGGTTATGAATAAGTGAGCAAAGACGCTGTAAATTTGAAAATATTTTAACCGCTAAGTAATGGAGGTAAATTTTACAATTTTATTTTATTAGAATTGTAGTAAGTACGACACTAGGATCCGTAGACGTATTGGGATGGCAAGCTGTACATATTATTGCCAGATTGGAGGATTACTTTGCTAACAAAGAAAAGAATACTGAGCTGTTACTTGCCATGTGTCCTTGCTTATGCCAACGAACGTTGCACGATTTCCGCAGAGATGAAGAAGAGACTCGAGGTGACGGAGATTTGATTCTACAGAAGGATGCTGAGGATATCATGGACCGAGCGTGTGAGCAACGATGAGGTCTTGGAGAGATTTATTGGTACATTCGTAGCTGAAATTATTTATTCTGATCGTAATATTTAATACAGGGAGATACTAGAATCTGGGGTTTTGTTTATTATTTTCGTTGTGGAGTATAGATGTGTTGTCGAATAATATCTCTCTAAACTGTGAATGTGGACAAGACTGTTCGTTTATATATATATATATATATATATATATTAAAGACATTTTTTATGTTTAACATTCTTTTTATAGATACAAGTATTTAAGTAAATGCTCTGTTTATAATAAACAGTATTAAATAACATTTACCGGCCTGAATGTCCAAGAAATTTTCATAGAAAATATTCGTCCTTTGACAGTCTTTAATAATGTCTTTAATAAATTGTCGGACTTTGTCCAATTCTTAATATATATATATATATATATATATATATATATATATATATATATATATATATATGGGTCATGAAATGCATATTTATGTATACATGATTTATTGTTTCGCTTTCTGCATTTGCCTGTCTCTAATTTTGCCCACTTAAATGTATCCTCACACGTTTTATAATCTATACGATTGTCACCGACCCAACTTCCAGATTACTCTTGTCGGTTTTCTGTAACCCCTTCACCAGTACATCTCATTAACTTTTATTTTTTTTCTCGATATTCCATTTGCAGAGTTTTCAACACTAACCCCCTCTTCACCAGCGCCCTAACGCTTTCAAATCATTTCAATCTAATCTGATTTTCTCCCTTTTCACTATTCTCTAGCTTCTACGTTCCTTCTTTCGGTTTCTATATTTCCCTTCCACTCACAATAATTCCCTCTCTATATTCCAATACTATTCGCTATCTTTCCCCTTCGAGCTTTCTCGCTATCTAATGCGATCCGTTTCATAGAAATATTAAGAACATATTCTTTCCCGCATAAATAAGTTGTATATTGTGTCTGTGTGTCTTACTATTTTAGTTAGGTTAATGAACACAGCACAAGTTATTTCGCAGAGGCATGCTGGGATATTTAAGCAGGTTGGTGTTTATTCGATAGCCATTACTCCTTTCGAAATCTTCGGAGTAATGTTCGGAAATTAATATCTTTTGTTTGGAGAAGATAAGTTTAAATGTCGTAAAATTCCCATTAATTCTTCGAGGAAGATAAGTATGGCATTATTATGCGTATTCTTGTTTGAATATAAATTCATATAATGAACATTGTTCTTATAAATAACGACAAATATTCATTAGTTGTTGGAGGAGTATAAATTCCGTTGACAAATATGTGTTTCTATATAATAATCACCATTTTGATGGCTTATAAAATCTGATATTTACATGTAATATTACACTATTATGGCGTTATACAATGTAAACCAACGGCCGTCTACGGCGTCTGGGTAAAAATCAGTTATCTGAACTTCCCTCTTAAAACCGTGTAGATATTATTTATCAATTATTGTTGAAAATTGCGATCAGATATACAGGGTGACCCAATTCTTTGTGGATACGTGTTTTAATATATTAAATATAGAGGAATCAAACAAGGACAACAGTTTAGATATATGGAAACCGTTTAACAATGGACGAAAATTGTGACATAGACATTTTAGTGGTTCCATTTTGATAGAGAAATCTGTCTTCCAAACTCTGAGCAAGGAAACAGAAACGTATTGTTACAAAACATATCGATATTATGAGGCTAAGGAAAATAAATAATAATTGACCCTTGACTTGAATAGTTGATGGTTGTAGAGTTGATTGAAACACGGAAACGACTGTACAACCTTGTGCAAATTAATTTAAACAACCGCTTTCGTTTCCTTTCTTTCAACAGTTTTAGACCCACTGGAGGAACAGGGTGTAATCGATTTTTTCCCCTAAGATTAATTCATTTGCAGTAATGCGCAGTAATCTGAATTTATTTTCTACGTGCATTTTGAAATTTGTTTGGCCTTGTAAAATGTTGCGTCTTCCGTGATTTCGTCAGATTTTCACGTCAAGCCACTATTGTCTCAATTGTCGATTAGTTGTTCTACGGCCATAGTCTGCGATATTCGTTACTTCAAGGAGGCGTATGAAAATTGTAACGCCGCATGAACACACTGGTAAGCCTTACCAGTGAACCAATCAAAAAAAAATCGACCGCCTCGGAAACTCTACTGATTTAAATGCAATCGAAAAACTGGAGCCAATTTGCAACGAACGACTTCATGGAATAGAACATACTAGCATGTACATTGGATCATGTTTCATTGGAAAAATATGACAAAAAGAAAATAATAACGGAATTATTCTTTTGGTTTCAATTACTTTGCACAATGTTGCATGTTTCACACCGTAACATTTCTAAAGAAGAATTGTCTGACGCAACTTTCTCTTTGCATTCTTGATACGAATACATAAGGTTAGATATCCTGCGTCGATTTTAGATTTGACCGGCACATCTACCGCACAGTTTATTTCGTGCTGAATCGTGTAGTTTTAATATTTGTTTTCATTTTGTATGGAAAATCATAACAGGTGTATCAGAATGATTGAAAAACAATCAGATTTAGAAAGTTTCAATAAACTCATATAGTTCGAGAATTTTCAACTATCTTTATCTGATTCTAAGAGTATACGATATTTAGTTTCGAATAAAAGTATCATTTTGTTTCGATTTTCCCTAAAACTATTTAAGTATTCTCAGTATCCTGCTGTAGAAGCAAAACTCTTATACTTCAAGTCTGCTTGAGATTGTTCAGCCTTCACTGAAATACAGGGTGACCGATATTGCATTACAGTCCAGTATTATTTTCTTTGTTTCAAACGAAATTTATACTCATTACAATGAACACTTAAATACTGTAAATTGAAATTGCCATTCCGAAATGTTTACCTCTGACAAGCGTCATTCACTTTACAAATCAGTATCTATGTTCAAAAATCAGTACAAATCAGTATCTATGTTAACAAAAATACGACACATCCAGAGAAAATATATTTTAAATTTGTGGAAAGACTAAAACGAAGATTAAGACTCCGGGGTACCAAGAATTCAATTTCTATAAATATTTAATCACAAGTAAGGCGAAAAATCCACTAAGATTCAAAGAGTTACAGAAAGTGAAATGCAATGAGACGACTTTAGTTAGGAGAAAATAAAAAAAAGATAAGTTTTTAGGAAGAAAGATGTTGATTAGCGCTCCATTTAAATATTTGAGAATTGTAGGTGGCAAGGTAGCAGGAAAAATGGAAAGCTGTTCCACAGTCAAGAAGTATGAGAAAAGAAACTCTTATAATAAAAGTTACGGTAACATTTCTCTATTTATACAGTAAGAAGCTGAGACATTGTTGTCAATCTGAGAGGACGTTTATATTGATGCGGTTGAAGTACAGGAAATCTAAAAGGAACATCAAGAAAAGTTTGAATTGAGGTACAGGAGATATTATCTGAACAATTGCCATGAAAATAGTTATGGAAAAGACAGAAGGAAAGCAAATGAAGACGGTGGGATATGAGTGAACAAAAAATATCACATCCGGAACGATGGCATTACTGGATTTACTTGGGATTATGTCTAGAATCAATGGATGTATAGTAGAAGAACCAGACAGACTATGGCAGTAATATTCAATACAGAGCTGAATGTGAATTTATAAATGTGCAAGATACAAAAATTGACTTGCACTCATAGTAAACAAACATTCTTAGCAGCGGCCATAACAACTCTACTTCATAACAGTGGGAAACGTGAGAACAAGAAAACGAAAGGAGCTGGTCTCATGGGGTTAGCATCAGACATGCTGATGAATGACAAAATGTCCCTCTATGTGGAGTAAAGGATTATTTTAAGCAAAATAATATTATTAGTATCAGATTACGAAAAAAATACTATTAAGGAGAGAGGACAATAAAAGCACAAATTTTAAGATGACAGAAGATAACGATTCACATTGCCTTTATTTTTTTAGGTTGAAACTTAACTGTAAATCAATAATCCGGCAAAAGCTTTCCACAAGTAAAAGATTTACGTTTATATACAGCCATTGCAACTGTAAAATGATGAGACAATGTCCCCAATCTAGTACTGGGCTTAAATTCATAATGCCTTTGTATCACGGCTGAAAGTTCATCAAAATAATTACTATAGAAGTATTTATTGAACAGACACAGGGAAATTACGTTACTGCCATGGAAAAGAGACAGAAATCGAGATGCCATGCCAAGACCAATAATATTGCAGATTTTAAGGGGATTTTATAATGTATATCTAAATATATACCAAGCACACCCAGGCCAGGTTTTGCAGCAATAGTCAAAGCAAAGGACGGGTGCCAAACTTCTAAATATGTAAGGTATATTCATATGCATACGTCTTCCATTCGCACTTGCTTCGAATATTTCTATCTGTCTAGTGCTCCTGATATATATTTAGAGAATCTTGAAAAAATTCGAAGAAAAATCTACAGTGTTTTTGAATATAGGCTGCCATCACGGATTTTGTCCTTTCCCAACACTGTATCTTGCTTATCGTAGTATATTTCACAGGACATGCAACAAACCTTCCATATATATATATAAAAATTAATTATTAGGAGGTTTGGATAATTATATTTAAGTAATTCATCGATTCTGAAATATCAACAAAATGCAGAAAACACTGGACGGCCGTTTCGTCCTATATTTGGGACTCATCAGCAGTACGCATCCACGACCGAGAATTGAAACCATAACAGTCAGGTTATCAGGCAAACATCCTACCAACTGTTGCAACAGGCCTCGGTGACGAAGAGATTGTAATTTTTAGGAGGATTGGATAATTATATTTAATAAAATTATTCAGTCCTCCTAATAATTTCTATCATGTATATATCATTGCTTGAACCGGCTTCTAATGCTCTATAGTGAGTCTTATGGTTAGAGAGAAACTCATCAGTTCCACCACGGAATATGTGAGCGAGCGGCGCTATATTGAGTCTGATTTGCAATATTTTTTGTTACAATTCCATATGGAGCTCCAATTATCTGATCTCATTTTTGTTATTAACAGTTTTGCTTGATAAGTTTTGTTATCTATATTTATGTTTTAACGGAAATTCAACATGATTGAATTATAAGTTATGATTATAACGTTTCATCATCACAGAATCCGCATTGCGTTTTCTCAAATTATGTTGAACGGTTATGCCTCAGCCAGGATCCTTGCATGTATCGTCTATTGGGGCATAATTCAATCCCATATCTCAAGTAGGAGATTTGGACACCTTCCATTGCTAAAGATAATAGAAAAAAATATGATCGGTTCTTTTTACAGTTCCAAAAATTATATAACACCTTGTTTACATCAGAATAAAATGGAGTATTTTCCTACCTTTGAGCTGGAACTGCCCAATCCGCACTTGCCAGTTTCGATAGAGTTCAACAGCTTTTTAATTTGTGGGTGATGAATCATTTTTCAGCCCTTTTCCACACAAGACATATTACTAGCCTCTCGCTTCTCTATCTCTATTTTTATGTCTGATCTTCAGGCGAACTCCATTCCTTGGTTTCACCAGTAAAGACATTCTAAGCAAGAACCCGCCATGCCCCGCTGGGTTTAATCATTTCGCATTGTCTTCGCATTCCGTAGACGAGGAGTAGATCCCTACCGACCACTTCATCAGAACTAGCAGGATGATTACCCAATCGCTACAATATTAAACTCTTTACGTCAATGGTCAATCATTAGCAATCCTACACATTCTCATAATACCTAGGACTTTATTCCCATCACATATGTGGCTCTTGTTTCTCTTAATATAAAATTAGTTATCTAACCCTCTAACATGAATGCTTCTTGGTCCTTGTATCGGGTGAACAAAGATTGTAAAATATACGAATGTTTATGGCACTGCAATATTGGAGACATTATCTTTTATTC